AACATTCCCTTTGAACGGTCTGAATGTTGGTGATTCCGCCTTCACTTTAGTTGTCGCCAATCCAATGCGAGCGTTCATGACCAGTTAAACGCGTAGTATTGGAAGCCTTGACAGATATGCTCTGTTTAATACGTGTTCAATGATCATTGGCGAGTATTGACACGTCGTTTCGTCGTGGCCAAGCAGTGGCAGGAAAACTCTGTCGGCTAGCTGCCACCGACTGCGGAACACAAAATATTCATGGAAATTCACCGGTTGCTAGAGCTGATATTTCTTAGAAACTTGGGTTCATGTAAAGTCCATTCGTGGTGTAAGTAACAGTCGACTATGCAAACCCGTTCATCAGGTTGACAGTCTTCATTCCTTGCCCGATATCCACAAAATCCAAAAGCACAAAATTAGCAGCCTTTCCACCCGAGAACGCAGAACATCCATTGGAATCAGCCAAGATGGACGCCATCCCATTCGTCCTAGGGGCCGACAAAAAGTCGGGGACGAGGATCGTAGGGAGTGCGTCCGTGTTGACATTATCGCCGACTTGATCGATCGTATCCTTGACGTGGTCGACGCCTTGATCAATCGTGTCTTTGACGTGGTCTACGCCGTTACCGATTGCGCTCGTGATGCTGTCGAACCATCCTGGTTTGGCTACTGGCTCTGGTTCGGCGAGCCGTTTGGACTTCCAGGGTGAGACTTTGGCGTTTAGGTTGTGGTTGATCATAAACATGTGACTAGTAGAGATTAGTCCTATTTACTCATCAAAGCTTGAGGGGACATACTCTTGCGAAGAAAGGGGTCCAGAGATACGGTCCACTCTGCATGGGAAAGAAGGATCCGTGGAAGAGAATGGAGGTTCCCAAACATGGTCAAACTCGGGTAGGATGTAGGGAACTTCGGCAGTATTGGCACCATAATCCACTAGTAACCAATGTCAATGAATTGTTTAAATAGAACGAGTTGTACGCACTAAATACTACCAGTCGTTTACCAGAATCGATCATTTGTCCCAGAGTAGGCCATTCGGATGCTTTCATGGGGAGATGGGGAGGAACATAAGCCAAGCCGACAAGCCCCGCCTGTTGAAAGATTGGATCCCAGACCGACTTGGGCGACAAGTTTTCAGGATTGGTAAAGATGAAGGTGAACACTTCATTGGGGTTGGCGTCCATGAACGCCTTGACTTTTTTGAGATAGTCGAGTACAGAGCCACCATCAAACAGGCGCTAAAGGAGCATAGTAAGATACGGCTAATTGAGAATGAAAAGATGGACGTACACAGTCGGTATGACAAAAGTGCAAGACTCCATCCTTCATATGGCTCTGTGCTTGCAGGCCACGCACGCCAAGTTTCATTTGTGCATTGAGATCGATCTGTTGGGTTCTCGCCAATGCAAGAGGGTTGGGCGAGGATGCAAACGAGTCGTGCGCTGAGCCGAGGAAGCAGGATTAGCTTGGGCTCGACATGGAAATCTGGGATAGAATTACGTACAAGTGAGAAAGGTCACGTTCCCATAGCTTCGGTTGCATAGTTCTGCTCTGCCATTACAGACAGTGGCGCGTTCTTGGATGGTAGGGAGGGCGGATACAAGAGGAAGATAGAGGAGAAGAGCCACAGCCAGCTGTAGCACTCTTACAGCTGACGCGACCCTCCAAGTCCTAAGAAAAGGCATTGATAATGATCGTGTAGGTTCCCTTGAAAAGCGGAATGTA